GGTATATTTAAAAGAGCCGTGATTGAGTTTTGATTCGAAAAATGCAATTAACAGATTATCATTATGCTACCTTGTTCCAAAAAAGACCTATGTACTTTTCAAGATTTTTTTTTTCTTGGTGTAAGTCGCTTGGAGGGGTTACATGCATTGGCTGGATGTCCCATTTGTATGGCAGTATTTGAATGTATATCTTATATAGATTTTAAAGCCTGTGGTGTAGAAACGGGGGGCATGTTCGAATTCGATGGAGACATTTAACGAGTCTTTTTTGAAGCTAGAACAAAATATATCACTTATTTCATGTATAAGATGATTTATATAATGTTCTATATATAATTGGTTTCCATAGCACTTCTGTGGTTGTGGTTTTTCAGCTTGTATCATGGTGATCATTTATAATTTACGATTCGAAATCAAAACGAATCCAGGTGTTAAGGAATTAATATATAAAGAGTAATGGTTTGTTATCAGTTATTAAAACTAATTTTGTGCTATATTATTTATCTATGTCTATTTATGGCAAATTTGAATTAAATTTTATCTCATCATATAGTTATCGTGGAAAAAAGAGTACCTGTACGGCGGAAAAGACAGTGATAAAATGAAGGATGGGAAGGCAGCTGGACCAGATGAACCGCCAAAGGAAACTCGTAAAGCCCTAATATTAATTTGTACAACACCATCTACAACAGTGGAATGATCCCAACTGAAATTGAGCACTCAATATTTGCAATTCTTCCAGTGACACCAAAAGCACAGTAATTTGACTTTGGAGCAATATAAGTCTAATGAGTCATATTACAAAGTTATTATTGAAAGTAGAACAGCAAAGTTCGATATTTGGCCAAACAAGACCGCATTTATTATACAACCCATTTGAAAAAGATATTTAAATTTGTTTTATTGAGTATACTAAAGCGTTTAATGGAGTAAAGCATTTTAAGATGATAGAATGTTTATCTGACATGTGGATAGATAGTAAAGACCTTCAAACCATAACCATCTTTTTTGGGAACAGACCGCATCAATAAGAAAAGCACATGGAGTAACAACTAAATTCAAAATAAAGAAAGGGCCAGGGTTGTGTTCTGTGACCAAATTAATTCACTTGTATACTGAAGAAATTCAGAGAGGTCAAAGATATGAAAAGTGTGAATATAGGAGGAATCAATATAAATAATCTAATTTAAGCAGGTAATACAGTTTTGTTAACAGAAGCTAATTCAGACTTACAGAAGTAACAAAAGTCAATGAAAAAGAGAATGAAAAGATTTGCAGTGGTTGCTATGGGAAGGAATGTTAAATGAAATACGTGAGAAAGTAAGACCAAGGACGTGGATGGACAACATTAAAGAATGGACCAATCAAAAATATTGTGAAAGTATACTAACGGTAAAAGATTGAGAGGAAAAAGCAAGCAATGACAGTCAAGCTTTCCACTGGACAGACTTATGGCCGTTGAAAGGGCATGCCGCGAGGCCTACAGGAGATAATTGCAGTACGCGGTAGACACAGATGCTAATCAGGTGATTGAATAGATACCGAATGTAGGTTTGAAAATGTGTATATATCACAATAACTTGTAAGTCAATACTGTCTTTTTTTTAATTTAGTGACTAGATGAGCAGAAAATAACGGCACGACGTGTCAAGTTTGAAGCTTCTGACTTCCCCAATAGATTTGACTTAATTGACGCTAAATCTAAGTAAGCGTGTCTATTTTGCAGAGATGTTTGTGTGGCTGAAAAAAAATCACTGAATCACTGAAAAAAAAAATGGTCAAGTATATCTGATTCTAACAGACATCCTTTCTAAACATAGAAAAGTCTAACATGTCATTCGATAATAATGAGTTGTGTACAATAACGCTAAAAATAATGTGCGTTTGTGACCACAAATTGTGTCCACCACCTATTACAAACACAATACTGGAATAAAGTTAGCAATTGCACCATCCTCAGAACAATGCTTTTCTGCAACAAATCACTCACTAGACGAGAACCGTGAGTAAACATTCCCAACAGTAACCCCCCTCTCCCCCCAAGTCCCTTCTCCAAGTGGAGTGAGATATCAGTTGAAACTGTCACGGTCAGTGATTCCAAAGGCTTCCGAACTTTGTCAATCATCACTGGAATCAACTGGTTTTGCTGACGATTCAAATTTTTTCTTGAACTCCATCTATGGTAAAATTAGAGCTAGAAATCATGTCGCAGAATGTCTCTTGGAGGAGACTGTGCACCAATTTACTGCAATGTTGAAATTGTTCTTTTAAGTATTAATTAAAATTAATATTTTAAAAGGAACAAAAATGGAAAGACTAATTCATTAAAATGTTCCGTTTTGACCACTGGTACTTGAAATCAACTTAGGTAAGATTTTAAATATTAATAACTAACTTATTTAATTAAAACTTACAATTAAAGAAAAGACAGTAATTTATGTTATATTTGTTAAATGCTATATTGTTTAATGCAGAAAAGATATGCTTTTATGTAAGGCAGAATAATAACTGAATTGCCATTCACGTCTGTTGATAAATCTCAGGGTTGAAAATCACACGGCATGTGAAAATATCACACGCCGTTATAACTTATTTAGTAATATGTCGCAACCATATTATTACGTAAGTTATAACGGCGGTGCCATAAAAAGACGCCACGTTAAGCTGATGGTATATGCTGATGGTGTATGCACGTAAATTGCATACCTTGTAATTCAGCAGTTTATCACCTGAACGTTAGTGGACCCGTGTTTGTTTACCCTGTTCCCGTAATCCATGTCTTTCAACTGAGCACCAATATAAATAATTACATTGTTAAAATAATTAATAACAAATGCCCATCTTTTATATATACATGAATGTAATAAATTGAAGTCTTGTCTTCACATTTTATATTATGTCATATTAAATGGAATAACATACATAGTCCCAGGACCCACTAGGGGCCCCGCTTTTTTCATACCTGTCGGAGGAAATTCCTGAAACTGATATCTCACTCTATTCGAAACAGGTGACTTCAAAGATAGCTAGAGGCACCATCGTGACAACACGTTCACAAGTCTCGTCTGGTGAGTGATTTGTTGCAGAAACGCAGTGTTCTGAGGATGGAAATACCTTTGAACCTTGAAACTAACCTTGTTGAACACCTGCGTCATATATTACAGTTTGCATTGCAGAGGCTATTCAACCCCTTAAATTCTGTACCAATTCTGCCTGGCATTCCTGGATTTCTGCACAAATGGGACAATTTTCCACAAACCATTTTTGCCCTTGTGAAGGAATGTCGCGCCGCCTACAGGAGATAATTGCACTATGCTAAAGACACAGACGCTATAAGACACGTTTCCCTTAACGAGCACATCCTGTTGCAAATTGTGTGTACATGTGGTGACATTTGTTAGTGTCTTTTTGATTTTATAGACACCTTTTTTTTACCTCTGTGGAAATCACTGTGGAACATCAGATTTCTGACATATAAGGGGGCTTTAAGACGTCGACTGCATCTGGAATAAAAAAAACTGTTTGAAATGCTTTAGAAATGTAAGGTGATCATTTGTAAACAAAAGCACATGCGATTGGAGGTTGAACAACCTTTTTGACCAAGAGTGTATATATGTTTTTATTTTTCAATTTTATTTCAGGCGCATTGCTGCGCCATTCAGAATTCAATCACAGAGTTCGTATCTCGGGTAGCTTCTGCGAAACTGGATGACGTCACCTATTCCACTAGGTACTGGCCCAACCAGTATTCTGCAGTTTGTTGGTGAATCTCTGGCTGAAATAAACCCATCCCTCGCCACAAACTCGAGGCGAGGCACCTCATCTCAGTTTACTGCACATAAATATCAAGACAAGAACCACTTTCTAGGCGAGAAACCTATGAAGCTATAGTCCTCATTCACTGATCCATCTTGTGCACTGCATTGGGAGCGCTCTCCAAACGCACGCCAGGTGCCCGGCTCTGAATTGTGTGTGTTTGATGAAGTGAATTTAAATACAACACTTTTGCTGAATCATTTAGATTATCACATGCAATCCACTTGTGAAAGATTGTAACTTTTGTCTAGAAGGCTTAATTATAGTGTTGAATTACGTACCACTACCAGTTAAGTGATAGGCCCTACATGTACCATTAACATTTCTCAGGGGATTTTTTCTACTTTTGTAACGTGCAACTGAAATTGAAATTGTTTATTTATGAAACTAGAAAAGATTCAGGACAACAAAATCAGTGAAAGGGAACAGCCCTCAGCCCAACAGAAATCACTATCATCATTAATGGGGTTATCTACAATGTGACAGAGATTCCGGGTGAGACGAACAGGTAAACAGAAGGGCGTTTACAAGTTCATCTGATGCAACTGAAGTTAATTACGGCTTTGGAAAAACAAGCGGGTTGTTAACAACTCGCTCTTCAGTATTTGAAGGTAAAAAAGCTAGTAAAAAAAGCAGGATGGTTGAAGAAGAAAACGTGCCTGTAGGAGCCACAAGTTAAAATTCATATATGAAATTAAGTATTTAGATTCAGTTATTTTATAGTATTTTTTAAATTCTATTTATTTATAGATGTGTATTTTCAAAAACGTGTATGTCAAGTGTACATGTAAATAAATTCAATCAAGTAGAACAACGTGTAGATTATACGGAGGTAAGTTTAATTTTGTATCGCAGATGTGGGACATCAGTTGAACGAACCAGATTTTTTCTTTTTTTGAAATCATGTTATCTGTAGAATAGCATATTTTCTGTATTACCCCTCACATTGGTTTTCTGCCCAATCCAAGAACATGGAACACGAACATCGCACATGAATTTTCTTCATGATGACTGAGGCTGCACTACAAGTAAAAGGTTTGTGCCCCTTTTCTGTATATTAGAAAATATTTGCAATATTTATCAGTCATATTGCTGCGTAGCCTCTGTCAGGCATGCAAACACCCGTATCAGGTATAACTCAGCTACTTCATTCTGGTCTTTAAATAATAAATAACTTTCAATTTGCCACGTTACTATATTTGACCTCTTTATTCGGAGAACCTGTAGTACATAATAGTAGCAGATAATGGAAAAAGATCATCTGAGAGCATTATGGACCGCGTTAGAGGTATGTCATAATTGATGTCGTTGTTTATTCAGTTATTATCTTTGTCTGTGTTCAGCCGGAAGGATGACTACTGTAGAGGCAGCTTGCTGACAGGGTTTGTCATACAGTTAATTCTCTTTGAGACCTGTTAAATATACCGGTATCATGTTGATCTTTAGTGTGTGTGTGTGTGTGTGTGTGTTTGTGTGTGTGCAAAATAGGCCACAAATGTGATTGGGGATCACGTTATCATTCGTTCAGACAGAGAGAGAGAGAGAGAGAGAGAGAGGGAAGAGAGAGTGCACGAGTATGTGTGTGTGTGTGTGTGAGAGAGAGTTTGCGTGCGTGCCTGTGTGTGTACATGGTGTGTGTGCCTGTGTGCGTGCGTGTGTGTGTGAGATAGAGAGAGAGAGAGGTGGAGAGCTAGATTAACCATGTGTTGTCTCAAGATTATCATCAGTGAGATAGATAAAAATATGGCAGGAGTGTCCATTGCTGTTAATTTTGGTGTAGTGAAAATGACGCTTGGAAATGGACGTCAGAATTTCGAAATACACTGGAGAGGATATTATGTTGTATCGATCCTTACACAGGAAGGACATTTAATCCCCACCCCAACCCCCAGCCTTTATTCACCCAGGTTCATGTTATGTTATAAATATCGGGGAGTGATCGTAGAGTAACAACCAGTCCAGGTTGATTCAAGTGGTACTTATATACCTACGCCTGTCGCTCAAAGATGGCATTGGTAGTTTATGAATAGTCTCACCTGTCAACATTTAAGTATTGTTTAATATTTTCTGTCTGTTTGAAGATGAATGGCCGTCTGTAAGAACGCGCATATAGCTACCGGTATACACGAAAGCCCCCCCCCCCCCACCCCACCCATATTAATATAATTTGCTGTTTAAGAATCAGGCATCTTGATGCCTTCCAAGGTTCCTGAAAGTGATGGTTGACTGGCTCATGTCTAATTCATTAATGTAGAACGTTGCTTACGTGTTGTCAGACATCTGTAATCTTGCTCGCCCGTCTCCTTTGCGAATTGACGCTTGGGAATGACCGAAACAAATCATTTAACTAAAATGGTTTTATTAGCTTGTTATTATCTTCTCGTATCCCGAGTTGCCCATGCATACATGTAGATTGTTTCGTTTATGTTCTGTTATATGCGTATATTTCTGTCTTATTCATGCCTCAGTGTTGTGTGTTCGTAGTTAAGATGATGTTGGATGAAACCGTCATGTACAACTTTGTCTAATACTTTTAACTTTAACCGTGCTTTATTAAATAACCATTAAAACACGAATAATTAACAAAGAATATTCCAGTTTCGCAGAATAGTCAAATTCTCTTCCACTAAATCATACGGCTGAATGATTTACGTTCCGTTTACTTACGGGTGCTTGATGTACTTACCCAATTACTCGACCAGCAGAGTATGTGAATATTTCATAACATATATGTCAGTAATTCATAAAGTAAATTATTGTGTTCAGTCGTACAGGTACAATGTATGATTTGTACCGAGTTTGTGTTCTATTTGTCATATTCCTGGTGTACTATTTCTAAAAAAAAATAAAATAAAATAAAATAAAATAAAATATGACGTGAGGGTGAATTTTAAAAGAGCGCAAATGTATTATGAGACATAAGCCTGTTATCAAATGTTCGTTTTAAACGAGCTTTATTCTAGCGACCTTAAAATTTTTCATACAGGTCCCTTCTGCCTTTCCTGCTGTGTGTCCTTAGTTAAAAGATATAAGAAAAAGTTTGGTTTGTGATTCGATTGTAACAGTTCAACCTGGCATTAAAAGTAAACCAATATTTGCTCCAGATACCACGCATGCGCTGTCTTATGCGGTACAGATGGTCCACCATCGTCTTCATTTTCTTCTTCACGACAGCGCTCACGATCTTCATGCACCAAGTCAGTATGATGAACCAAATGATGCACAGAATAGAATATTTAGAGGCTGAAAGAGCAAGCCTCCTGGAGCGCCAGGCAGCCGTGAACGACGATTACAACGTTGAACCGGAGGAGCCCCTCACGCAGCCGCCCCCAAAGGATGGAGTTGACATGGACGCCGGCCACCGAGAATCCCCGCTGGGTGCAGTCAACCAAGGCGACCCTGCAGGAGTGCCAGTAATGGGGGATGAGGGCCAGCGACAGTCAGAGGGCCAAGTCAACCCGGTCTACCAGCCTCCCCAACCCGAGCTTCGAATCCCGCCAATCGAGGGTGCGAATCCTGACCACTTCATCATGGGGCCAGACCAACAGCATGTGTTGGGACCCGTGCAGCAGCTGCCGAATTATCCCCTACCCCAGGGTCAGGTCCAGTACCCCCAGGGGCCGGGGCATCCCCAAGGAGTAATGCCTCCGGTGCTGTATCAACCTCAGCCAGTGCCGGGAATGATACCACAGCCGTACCAACAACAGCAACAACTGTCACCGCAGCAGCAATTGTTACTACAGCAACAGCACCAACAACAGCAACAGCTTGCACAACAACAACAACAGTTTGGGCAACAACAGCACCAGCCGATGCTACAGCATCCGCACGTGATGCAACCGCAGGTTCCACAACATGTTTATCAGCAACCGCAACCGCAGCAGCAGCAGCAGCAGCCAGTGTATCAGCAACAGCAACAAGCACCTGTCCAGACCTCCGCAACTTCACAAATTACTGCCAAGCAGGCAGAGTTCAGCAATAGAGAATATGCACGCTTTATGGAGATGATGAAAAAATGGCCGAGCGACAAACCCAAAGCTACTATCTTTTATCTCCTCTACACGCAGCGCATAAGTAGATTCCGTGGTGCAATACAGAGTGTCGATAAATTTTTCAATAATCGCTTCCAATATCCCATTGTGTTGTTTCATGAGCCCGATCTGTTAGAAAGTCATAAGCAAGCCATCAATTCATGGACAACGTCAAATGTATTTTTCCAAATCGTGGAATTTATCATACCGGAGTGGATCAGAATGCCAGCAGATGACTGGTTGCACACGTGTGGGTTTGCCAGAATGGGGTACCGCCACATGTGTAGATTTCAAAGCGTTCTCGTCTCCCAGCAACCAATTTTACAACCAATAGAGTGGTATTGGCGCCTTGATGATGACTCTGAACTCCTAAGTGACGTCACGTATGACGTATTTAAGTTTATGCAGGATCGTGATCTGACTTATGCCTACATCAGGCTCATATTTGACGTCATACCGGACTGTATAGCCGGCCTGAGAGGAAATACTACAAAGTATGTCCAAGAACAGAAACTAACACCAACATTCCTTGAGCGCTTGCCAGAAAACTTGGGTCTGTATAACAACTTCGAGTTATCGCGGTTCAGTTTTTGGCGTCGCCCGGATGTGAAGGCGTACCTAAATTATATCGATCACGCTGGCGGTATATTTTACAACCGCTGGGGAGACGCTCCTATCAAAACTACGGCTCTTGCTATATTTGAAAACCTAGACAAGATTTTTCAGCTCACCAACGTGCAGTATCATCACAAGAAGTTCAGTACGGAAGAGGACAATGTGCGACTGAGGCCGATTGAATCTTACTTGAAACCGAAAGTTCAGTGAACTGATTGCAATGTTTTTACATTGAAGAATATGGTCTTCACATTGAACTTAAATACAGATTTAAACATTACTTGTAATAGGACACGCATGTAGTTAGTGTTTTTAATTGTCAGTGAGAATAAATGGATTAAAATAATACAAACGGTAACAATGCAAGTGGGATTTTACTTTGTGTAACTACTAGTATTCATGATCTTGGAAAATTCAGATGTATTTTTTTTTTCCTTTTTTAACTTAACCTTTACAAAGTAATTATATATTGTGTTATTTAAAGTACCCCCACCCAGATACATTGTATTTCAACGGTTTTTAAAAATTTGAAATGCAAAATATATGAAAACGTTAGGCGTTGATTAGTCCGAAATTAAGAAAACGTATGCACACGTTCAACTGAATCACCAAAGAAAATCTAGATCGGTTTTGCGTCAAAAACAAAGCAAAAATATCAAATTGATTCGTCGTTTTTAATACGTTTCGGTAGATCATTAAATTTTACAGGTTTATCTGTCTTTCTGTCTCTCTGTCTCTCTCTCTCCCTTCCTTCCTCCCTCCCTATTCAGCTCGTGCGGTCCATTTTGATTTCGACAAATTAATATCTGTAAAAGTAACAGGGTATTAGATTTGACGTGTTAGATTTAGCGCCGAATGGGTCAAGTCAAATTTTATATGTTTTTCTTCGTTTGAGCTTTCTTTCAAGATCTACCAGTACTGATGAGAGGAAAGCCCAATAGTGGTGTTACATATCGATCTTCAACCCTAGCAGGCCTGATTTGAGATTCCCTCCGGCATTTGAACCCGCACTGGTCCACAAATTTATCAAAGCATTCTCTGGAGACTGTTGTGCATGGGGCTTTCCTTTCATCTGCGTTTTTAGCGGTTTTCCCATCGACGAAGGTTGATTGCGTGAAATGTGACATAATAAGTCCATTTCTCAATTTTGTTACCTGCGGCGCAGTCAACCAGGACAATGGGTCGCAGATTTAATCTTCTTCTAACATCAGGCCTACCCAACTACCAGACTCGGCACATAAGGATCCTGAATTAACCGGTATATCTGACCACACTACCCGTTTTCAAGGTGTGTGTCAGATCGCATTTCGGAGTATCAGTCAGAACACCGACAGGATGAGTCCACGCTCGGCTGTCACCTTAATTGGATAGTAAACGATTGTCGTAAAATCGAACAACCTTAGACTGCCACATTAATCTAATACAATGCAAAAAACCTTATCAAAAGTGGTTAAAGCATTCAAACCGAATGTCGTTAAGTCCCCATATACCCCCATAGAGACAATAAAATAGAGTACTTTAAAGTAAGAGTACAGTCTAAGGTTGTTCTAGGTGGTTTTCAAATTTATGCACCCGGTTAAAAATCATATAGCGATTCTACGACAATCGTTTACTATCCAATCAAGGTGACAGCCGAGCGTGGATGAGCCCGCGGTCGTCCTACAAAATTTGTTCTGGGGTGTGATACCCCGAAATGCGATCTGACACACACCTTGAAAACGGGTAGTGTGGTCCGATATACCGGTTAATTCAGGATCCTTATGTGCCGAGTCTGGTAGTTGGGTAGGCCTGAACATTTTGCAAACAGAGGCCAATCCGCCACTGGCTGTATTAGACCCGGACCATACGCTTGATACTTGTATTTCTAACTATTTATCTATTGTTTTTTAATGTGCGTCGTGAACAAAATTGTGATACAATGTGATGAGGGCATTGAGTACTATTTCCAATCTTTCTTTCAACATATACAGCTTCCGGTGTCGAGATTGAGAATTAATAATCGTCCATTCATTGTCGATTTTAATTCTAAAAAGACCCCAACCAGAAAATCGTAGTAGCTCTTCGAACTCACATTTCATTTCATAATTATTGAAATTATCAGCGCTCCTCGATGATTTCAGTCCCTTGTGAAATATCCCCCCCCCCCGAACAAATACGTGTATCGATTTAATGTAATGCATGAAACGGCGATGCATATTCACCTAACGACACCTTTACCGATTTGGATTAGCTGCTAGGACTTGTTTAGGGATTTTGTGGCGACTTATCTGTACATGCACCTGAAATAGTTATGAAAGTAACCAGATTATATAGAAATAAACATCAAACGTGCGACCTCATCAACAAAAACGTTTAATACAAAACAAAGAAAAAAGAAAACATGATCCTTTTCATTTCACGAAAACTTCTCCATTTTAACTCTTGATAGGAAGACTTCCACTTGGACAAAGTTTTACTAGCTGATGGTCTTTTATGTGATAAAATATATACATATTCCAAATAACCACGTGTTTCTTGGCGTCAAGTCTGCTTTTCAGTTATTATCCTTGCAGTAAAACAGGACATAATGGCATACCACTAAATGGTATCGAGAGTTGAAAGATTCCATTGCACCATTAATAATCGAACTGTCTCACGAGACATCCTCCAGCCATTCCCGCCATTGTACGGCGATACTAGGGCATCAAAATAAAGGCGCTGCTGCGAAACGTTTTCAATGTTATCTAGGGCACGACTTCGTAGCCCTTGAGTGAAAACCTCGATAGCCTTCATGATCTCTTTGAGCGCTTGAAATTTATCTCACACCTTTTGGAAAACACGAATAACAACGCTCAATACCATCTTTTATAAGCCAATACCAAGTCAAGTAAATTTCCATTGCTATATTTTGTGGAATAGACACACCTAAAGCTACAATATGGACGAACAACGACGACCGCAAATAATAACTTTGTTTTTAATCAGTTTTTATGTATTTCAGGTACATATAATACATACAAATTTTGTAAAGAAAATGTTTCCTCTTCTAAGATGATTTTTAAAGCCAGGTACAGCACCCAATAGATTAAATGAGTAAAAACAACAACTCTGCCTTGCCCTAAATTTTGTTCCTTTTATCAGATAGCTAACACTCATCAAATGTAATTGTTCCATTGTAAAGTATCCTTATTACAGAATTAGCTTCACATTTCAATTTCCCGCCTCACATTTCGAACAACAGTTATCCATCAGGTTTTTTATGTTTTCCCACATCAGATTCACTCACTTTTTCCTCGTCAGTTTTTCGTGCATATTTCTCAGCGCATCATTCCACTTAATTGCCTGCTGCTTAAGATTGGACATGAGGTACATTTGGCATCCGTCCTTGGTCTGCCGCAGGGCCTCGGTGTTATCTTTGAACGAATTGTGGAACTTCCCTCGTATACTAGACCATATACCATCCCCCTCATCCTCCTTCTCCTCGTCTGAGTCGCTTCCATCGTGGATTCCCTGGTCCGCCAGGAACCTCTCGTGAGAAACGCTGGTTCCACAAGCTCCGACCGCTTCCAGAGACTCCGTGGGTGGCTGTACCTAAAATCGAAAATGAACGCCATTTCAAAATCAAAACGCTAATTAAAAGGTGACACGAAAAAACGCAATCAGGATGGCTGAAGAGGTCTGTACTCCTTTGATTCTGAAAAATCACAGATCCTTGGTTTAAACAGAAATCTCTTAAGATGTACGCGTAGGGCATCAGGAAAATGGCAATCTTGGCAAATTTGCTTCAACAAAAAATCGAGAAGTACTAATTATATAATTTAAAGACGAGGAAGAAGCGATGAACTGGCAGGGTCCAAAATTCATTAAATATCGCTGACTTTTATTGAGCCAGCATTCGCTAGAGAGGGTGAGAACCCATGGCGTTTCAAGTATTTAACAATAAAAATAAACAAGAAACAGACAGAAAAAACAACAGCAGTTACCGACATCATTTGTATAAATTTATTTACCGGTATTTTACAATAAAAAACTGGATATAAAGGGGATTGATTGGCACTAACCCATGATGTTCATTCTATAGCTTTTCGCGTCCACATACGGATCGTTATTATCGCAATTGTTCTTAGTTAGAGCACTAGGAGGACCATTACAGATTCTCGTATCGCTCATCAAAATTGGAGTTCAAGTACATTAATACTGCTGTGCAGAAAGAACTAACGGTATTAGTTGGATGCACGCGTCGTTAACCGCCGCGTCCTGTAATACATGGTGGTCACCAAGGGGGTGTTACAACTCCCCTGCTCCCTTGATTCCATCGGTGTGCACAGTGTATGACGTGCACTTACTAAGCGATCACAAAAAAGTAACATGTAACATTGGGGACTGATGCGTTGTAATTTGGCGCCAGCCACAATAACCGGCGAGCAGCTCCTTCAGCATTGCATGAGAGACAAAGTGCTTTTCATTTCGTCAGAAAACCAAAAAGGAGGGTAATAGTTATTATACCTTCTGAAGAAAAAGATATTCCCGCCATTCCCGTGATTGTAGCCACAGTAGAAGCAATGGCACGTTGTTTAGAGGCAATATATTAACGTGAATGAAGACTATAATTACAAAACCACAAATACAGTCAAAAGATACACGGTACACACTGCAGCGATTCCTTAAAGAGCATAGCGTCAAAATAGGAACACTAGATTGGTTCGAGTCTCATAAGGAAATGGCAGTCCAAAGTTGGGCAACAATCCCCACCTCGCGGTCTTCAGCTAATTTCTTCCGAACTTGACAGGAAGCATGGAGTCTGCTCACAACGCTACGAATAAGAAATGACGCAATTCACAACAATGGAGTTTTCGGGGCCATTCTAAGTGCGGTTCTTCCCCTAATTGCTCAAAAGTGTTCTTATGGGTACACCATTAGCCAAGGAGACGAACCAGAATTCTGCTGTAGACTGATCCTTTGGAAACTCGATTTTTGTGCGTATTGTGCCACTCTTTCTTAGAGAAGGTACAGGCAATGTTCTCTTTTGAAGACACATCTGTAGTTTTACGAGGACGACCTGTGCTGTTGCTTGATTGCACATGGTGGCTAAAGAGGGTACCTCGAGCAATTCCAAGATGAACAGCAATGCCCACTTTGTTTGGGTCCTGCACACCACATCCCCAACACTTGCCAACTTGCCAAACTCTTCTTGGGCATATGCGACGAGGCATAGTCACTATTCAGACCTGCTGTGCAAAATTTGACTAACGTACCTTCGCCAATTGAGCATTACCAGATGAAACGGTTCAACATCAATAACTTGCAAATTGTTTATTTGAAATATCTATAGCTAGGTAAAACGTTTTGTGCAAATTGTCACCGTGGAGTTTATAGAAGCAAATACAAAAAAAAAATCCCATCATTTTTGGCATAAGAACACTTTTGAGCAATTAGGGGAAGAACCGCACTTAGAATGGCCCCGAAAACTCCATTGTTGTGAATTGCGTCATTTCTTATTCGTAGCGTTGTGAGCAGACTCCATGCTTCCTGTAAAACAAATTGAAAAATATAATGAACAAAATGGACAAGAAACATGTTTTCTCTCTCTCTCCCCCCCCCCCCCCCAACACACACAGGCACATGCACACGCACACATACACACTCTTATCCACATATAAGCGCAAGGAATCACATACTTCTGAACAAATTCAAATAATCTCCAGTAATTTTACTAAAAATAATTTTTCATACATATTTGGTGATGCCGGCTTTCATTTTACCATTTTTAAACCGTGGGCTGCCGTATATTACTCGAGTATATTGGCTTAACGGTACATGCAATATGGTCCTTCTATCTTTAATCAAATTAAAGACATGCATTTTAGAATCAAAAACAAACGTGGTTTAAAACCCATTGCTACATTTCTTATCAAAGAGCCAATATCTACATGCATGGGTATCTACATACAACTTAAATGGCACGATAAAATGAAAAGATATCTACAGAACTGAAAACATACCCTTGGAGTATTGTCGCTGAATTCCGTTATTTCATCTTCCGTCCACTTCTTCTGATTGCATCCAGCTTTACTTGGGGTGGTCGAATTTGCCTGTGAAGCCATACTTCTAACTGATTCGTTCCTTGTGATACAACTTTCGATCAGAAAAATTAACAAGAAATAATTGTACAATAATTATTGTATATAACACACTACGCACGTGAATGTGTACAAACATATATTGGCTCTTCACGAGCACTTGTTCTATATTCTAAAAGCTGCCTGTGCCAGAAAAAAATGAAGTAAAGACAGTAATAGCATTACAGCTTTTATTGCATGCTCTTCTACCAATTGCAGCTGATGTATGCTTCCCTGGGGGCTTGGGGCGGGCTTATCATGGTCGCACGATATATATAGCAGCAGTGGTTCCCTTAATTGAAAGATACAGAGGCGTTCATGAGCGTGCCGTCGTCTTTTCAAAACATTTTGTGTATATCATTTTGGCTTTTTGTTCCAATGGAAGGAATACATGCATGATGAACCAAAATCACAGACCCAAAACCAATGAATATTGAACTGTATAATCACATCACGAAACAGTTGATGAATGGTTTGAAAATTGATAAATTGTGATAAACCAGTATTACTGCTACATACAGACCAACCCTCCGCGCCACTGCGGACACATGATAATGAGATTCACTATACATTATAGTTCAGAACCAAAACAGATGCACTGATCTCGAGGGATATAAAGGAATTAATTTCACTTTAAGTCTCTGACCTATCATCTTTTATTTCAACGAAGAAAACTGCATTATCGGGAAACTGTTAACCACATAGCTAAAGGATAAAAGAGACCTGGATATTGAAGTTTATACAATGTACAGGTAAACCATAATGTACAGTTTTACCAGATTGTTATTGATTTTAACAGAATTATTTATTAATTGCTTTAGTATATGGAGTGAATACATCTTTTGTAAATTCAAATTTCAAATGCATTTAGCGAAAGACACTTTTAATAACAATTAATGTCAATGAACTTGTGTTTACGGTTGTTCTAAAATACTAGCCACGGCAAATTATTGATATTTTCTTGGCAGATATTCTCTAAATATACCGGTAATTGAAACACTCGAACAATCACCTAATTTCCCAACAGAGAAGAGGTCGAAATCGTATTTGAAAGGTGTGCTTCCGTGAGAAGATAAAAAGAAATGGGATGTTTTATCTGGATTCCGACAGGAGTCTCGGCTTGCACCCAATCAATAAGTCTGTTTGATTCTGTAGTTGGCTCCACATCATAAGGACTAGGGTATATGTACTTCATGTACTTTATTCTTGCTAATCAGATCCCACACACAGTATCTACCCACTGAGTTCAGTGAACCATTTGTTCTAACAGCTTGCCGATCGTTGATCTCCTTTCGCTGATAGTTAACCACGTGACACAAGAACCAAACGCGGTTTGCATCTCAAGCCAAAAGGCCATTCAGAACAGAAGATCTTAGGATCTACTGATCCACAGATCAAATATAGAGGACCCCACATGAAAGAAGAGCCGACTTATCCGCTGATGGACTCCCCGCCTCCCGCGCCATTAAAAGGATTAAATCACGGCTCCGAGGTTTACTTGCTAGACCCCTGCAAGAACGGCGCGTGTGGAGGCGGGGGAGGGGGGACCATCAGCGGTTAATTCGGCTCTTTTTGTATGTAGGGTCCGCCATATTTGATCCGTGGATCAGTAGATCCTTGGATCTGAATGGTCTGGCGAGATCCCCCGAAAACTCATGCCCCTCACAGAGTGCAGTCGACTTGCTGAAGTCAAAGACAAAATGCATTCTGTCTTATGCTTAAAATGTCTAACATTAATCAATTTACACCACGATTGTTCCTTTCCAAATAAACGCATTTTCTGTAACATGTTTCTTTCACAGACAGTACCCTCGGTACGTGTACATGTAAGCTTATGTGGCGTTTCAGTGCATAGAATACCAGAAACGAACCTCAGCCTTTATACCAGATTATTTTATCTATACATTAATCCTCCATCACTCTAATGGTAAGGATGAAATATCCCTTATAAATAAAGGCACAACTAGTCATTTTTCACTTGTTTTACCCAAGTGTTACATGTAACACAATGCCAGCATAGAAAAACAAGTCTCGAGTGAGCAAATCTTATATCAATTCCAGCATAAACAGCCTTGGGAGGTGAAGTACCGGGTAGTTGTCATAATGCTTGATTAAATTAGTATAAATGTATTTTAGTGTAGATAAAGTCAGATCTATGGATGGGGGGAGGGGGGTCCAAGATGAGCTGTTCGGTATTTGACTAAGATGGTTTCTTGAGAGTTTTACGTCACAATTATACCTATGTTGTTACATATATACCCAGTAGGTTTATAGTTCATTTCTGTCTGTCTGATAAAATTCCCGTATAGACATTACAAATTGAATTTAGCAAGCGAGAACAGTTTTCGTCAGTGTAATTTTTAGTTAACTTTCCGACAAACACTACAGACTCTGAACAATAACAACAACAATAAAATGTTAGGCCAGACAAAATTGCTAAGCTGGCCACCGCCCCTAATTTTGAATTAACACATTTAATGGAAAAAATGACAATTGAGTATAAGTGAGGCGTTTGTATTTGAACCCAGGAAACCTACATGTAAGTGTAGCCTAACCTTAGTGTACTTTAAAATTACCCAAACTGTGAATTAAACGTGTTCTACTCCTCTCCCCCCCAAAAAAGAATATATATATATACATATATATTTTAATATATTAATTAAAAGTAGTCAAGTAATCAATTGAAGTGATCGCCTACCCTTAATTTTAACTGCTTCAGTTTTATTCATTAAAATTGAATTATTATCTGCAAAATAAAGCAGTGTGGAGTCTGCAACTGTCCGAGGTTGTTTCAGAAATTCTCTGGGGTCCCTCTTATCGCTGGATAAGCCTATACTTAGAGGAAATATTGTATGGCAATATTCCCAAGTGATGACAAACTCCAGTTCACCACTCTACGTCCCATCAGCCGTTCACGATAGCATAAGTATGTTTGCAGTTTATATTGGGCTCTACATGTACTTTGGAAAGAAACTGTTGTATATATGTGGGCCTTAATGTCAAAGTAAGATCCTTCATCAGACTACGTTTTTGCCTTGGTGTAGTATGAAATCGTGTAATTGCAGCTCCGCATAACATGGCGCAACTACAGCAATCAGCGGGAACTGTGTAATAAAAACACGCACAATGGGCACCTGTATTGATTTATACAAAGTAGTGAACGACCATATAACATAAATACAAAGCATGCGTCGAATATAAATCTACGAAATGACTGTGCAGCTGACGAAGACTGTAATACCATCAAATATATCTGCGTTATTGGTGTCCTGTGTGCTTCCTGGTTCACCATAGCAAGTGGTTTATGTCATGTACATGTATTTCAAGGTTCCGGCATTTTTGGTTCAATCACGTGGACATAAGAAATATCACTTTATATCTGTCAGACGAACACAGTTTTATCACTGCTTGATAAGCACGTTACTTATATTAAAAAATAAAAATGGAACCAAAACATGCAACAGAAATTTATTTTAGGATATGTCCAACAACATATGACAATGAACAGAAATATAAAAGACATAAAAGACGAAGGCAGTTTCAATTAGACCAATTTTGCTAGATTTTGAACGGACTCTCTTTTTCTTAATTAGCCCTGAATGATGCATTTCTGTTATAAAAGATTTTTTTAACAACGTCTATTCGAAAGAAATGGAGGCAAAGCGCTGGGAGCATTAAATGCTCTCCACAAAATTAAATGAGTAAATAAATAAAACAAATGGATACGTATATACAACAGAATAAATGTATAACTTCAAATATTTCAGTATGGAGCACAAAAGTTACCAGAACTAATTAAGTACAGAAAGAAAGAAAATAAAAGGAAGAAGAAAAGGATCGTAACTAGTTTACATATACAACATTGGTCGAATAGAGAAGAGATGGCACTTACTGACTGATAAAAGATTAGAGGAAGGAACATTGCAGGGTTCCACTATTGGGTAAAAATATGTGGCAACTCGACTACAGTTATCAATACTGGTACATGTTAACACTTGAAATGTAGTTTAATTATGTTAAAATAACTTTGGGGGTCTTTGCTAGATTTGCTTTCCACACGAGACAGATTAATTTTCATAAACATTTCCTTTAACATTTTGAATTTGTGTTGAAAAAAATAAAAGCCCAGATATATTTGAAATCGTGCACACAACCTGCAGGCAGTGCGAGGACTTACCAGTATCACTCTAATAATTAAATGCTCTTCTGCGTAAACTGTATGTTCATATTTATAATGTTACTTCGTTTGTTTATTATACTCTTTTTCCGTATGCTTTTTAATAAAATTTGTTCAGTTCCCGCTATGTCATATACTCATCCGTAGTAGCATCAGTAGCTACGGGTGTATATAGTGTTACGTGAACAGCTAATTAATGCCCATAGAGACAACACGCCAAAATAAATAATAATAAATAAAACAAAATTATTCAAGTATTCTGCCACATTTCATACACTGTATCACTTCATTTTATATACTAGTTTCCGTCACACCCTTACTGTAATTTATTTTGCAATTTGATTAGTTTTCTCTCGATGAAAGGTGGTGCAAATTATTCAAGTCAGACATTTTTTTCTTATAATCTATGGGCAGCCTTGAGAAGTCACGTTTAACGTACAGTATCAGGATGTGTATTCAGGTTACGTGTTAGATCGTTTTACATCCACAAAATCGTGTGCTAATATATACACAATGCCCGTTGCTTATTCTTTTTCAGACATAAAAAAATCACTTTATAAATGTTGTCATTATGCTATTCCCTACTCCTGGATATACGCTCAAGTTATGACAGATATATTTTACAGTTATTGTAATTTATCATGACAAGTGCACGTAAAAATTTAGATGAAAGTAACATCAGGGACTATTATTTTAATAGCAAACATCTAACTCAAGCACATATTACATAATTTAGAGTAAATCAATATGTACTACATTTAACCCTGTGTTCCACGCCTTGTCTTCGTGGCTACCGTGTAAATTGTCTACACGTTGAAATGGAGACTATATAATATCCACTTTTGCTCAATTTACAGCCAGCCACAAACACTTAACCACTAATTACACATCAAATTGTGCAATATACTACAAAGGAAATGGAAGTGATTTCAGAATTAGTCTACATTGTATGCTGAGTGATTTTGATGTGATGAAAATTGATATTGGCAGCAGGATTGCCGGAACCCAAAAGTAGATTTTTATACCCGATCCCGCTTTCTAGTTCATAGACTTTATATGCTTATGCTAGTCACGTTTCTTGGTTTTATAAAGTCACGACTGTCGTTTTGTGCAAACTGGCACAAATGATATAAAGAGCAGCTACTGTGTACTCTTGATGATAATAATTAATAAAAAAAGCGTGTTACAGCGACATAAGGAAGTAAGACTACGGTTTATTTTTATATCCAAAACAAGGCGCGCTAGTACCTGTAGTACCAGTCGGAGACGGACAAACTTGTTCATAATTAGATTTCCCTCTTTGGTTTGTTTGAGATAGCTTGGCAATATCAACACCGAAAAGGGGATCTGAGTCAGAGCACTGGCCTTTGCTGCCTAAGACCAATCGTGTAGCGTTGAATCTGAAATAGCGGTGTTTGTTTACATCCGCTAACTTGTTCTCCATTTGGACAAGCTTTAACGCAGGATGCGAGATTGCGTTAGAGACAAAACTCCTAGACGCCCCTCCCCTGCTTTTAAACACACTTATTTTGATTCCACATGAACAAATTGTTGCAAACACTGCAAACAGGGCCCTTTCTTTACCCGGCAACGATGAACACGGTCACTTGCTCCTGTTGAGTTGAACACCCCCGTTTCTACCCTCCATTGCTGCCTATAGCTACAGGTTGCCGTGGATTTGAACTTCTCACTTACAGCTATGCAGGCAGCACTCACATCCTGGACTTGTTTACAACCTGTCTCTTCAGCCGGGAGTGCCTCGACCCTGGTACACGTTATGCATAGCAATCTGTCGAACAGCTGACTTTAATGCGACGAGCACCAGCGTATAAATACGGATGCGTGGCGTAATCTTGTTGTATTTTGAAAGCTGTCGAGAGTGGAGAAGTCAGCTACTCAGAATAAGTGCATCCTTCATGGTTGATACAATGTTATACAGGGCCGTTCTTGCAATTTCACTTGTCGCAGTGTGGGCATCAGCTGCACGGGGATTTGACAAGTAAATATACTTTTTTATTTTGTAATGTCAAACAAATTAAGTATGGAGAATGGGCCACTTAAGTATTTTAGTTGACATATCTTGTGTTAATTTCACTTTCTGTTAATAAGATGACGAGTGGCGTGACTTCAATTGATGTAAATCCGGTATTCTTTCACATAGTCTATCCACTTGGTTAAGAAATTAAGTGTTTTCTTATTCTATTCTAATTATTTATCTGTTTTGTAGCTCGTACATGCTATTATCGCCGCGCACAGTGCGCTTAGGCCTGCCGTATGAGATCAGTGTCTCTGTAATGCCCAAGTTGAAGGCACCGGTTCACATTCGGGCTGAAATACTTCAAGAGAATATAACCATAGCCATGGCATCGGGCGATTTCAGAGCAGGTAATTAAAAAAAAAAGAGTCGAAATAAGTTTTTGTAGGGAAAATGTGTTGACTTCGCGTGTGCCCTTCTTTTTACACATGAATAATTTTTCTATTAACATTTTAATAGCATCACTGTCGCTATTTTACATTAATGTTTTTGAAACCTGAAGTGCGGCGTTAAGAGTTTAGTTTTCAATTAATATCAAGTACATGCTCTAGGCACCAAGTCCTCGGCAATTCATTGTGCTTATTTAGAAGTGGAAAAGAAAAATGTATCACGAAAATCTTTCCATTGGCTCATTGATTGGATTTCTTTGAAAAATCCCGATCATTTGTATATTTCATTCTGCAGGACAACCAGGGAAGTTAACATTGCAGGTAGGCTTGTGTTTTAATTCACTTACACGTAGTGTTGATTAGCCTATCGCGCATTGCAATGTACGATATACCGACATGTTTCAATCTGATCTGCACATTTACACATTTTAATTTTTATTTAAAAATAGTAAAAAGTGAAAATGTGGTACGTGAAAAACAGAGCCAAAGTTGTAAAACCTTGTTTATGTGTTTATGGACATGAAAAATAATGGTGGAAAGAGAAAAAAACGGAACGTTTTTGTTAAGTAAGCGCTTTGCCTAAAATCATAATTTCCGACATTGACTTTAACTGTCAGTAAAACGTGGGTTGAAAGTTACAGCGCTCAGTTTATTTCGACATTCTCTTCCTACAGGTGCCACGGGACGTAAAGCCTATCAGAATATATAGGTACTACACCTACTACGGGAACTTTAAGCTCAAAGTGGAAGGCAGGGGTGGAGTTCAATTTAAAAACGAAACATGGCTGAGTATGAGTCAAAAGAGCCTCTCTGCCTTCATCCAGACGGATAAAGCCATATACAAACCTGGACAAACAGGTACCGTTCATACTGCTTCGTTAGAATGTCCAATTATTTCCGTCGTGTTGGTAATGACAACAACTAATGTAAATTGACAATTTCCCTTGGTTAATCATAAATCACTTTAACGGTATTGGTATTATGCGCAGAGCAAAGCATCGCCGGCATATGCTGTCGTCTGCGTGGTTTATTAACTTTATTATCTTTAGCCATTATGGTAACTAAAAATGGCCACATTATTACAGAAAGTATTAAATAATTCCACCATAATATGTTAAGTCTGATTGTTTCAGTTTGAGTTTTCTTTCATCAGGAGGTTTTGATAGGTGATAACAGGGCTGAAATGGACCTCTGATATATAATAGTCAATAAAACAATTGATGCTTTTTCTGTTCCAGAATGTGAAATGACATGACGATGTGTCTTTAGTCGTGCTTTTAAGTCGAAATTTCCTCTTTGTTTTAGTTCGCTTCAGAGCGTTTGCTACGGGCCCTGATCTGAAACCACTGCTGTCTCCTATCACTGTTGAAATATTTGTACGTACCGTATATAGCTGTTTGTATAATTTAATGGCTTCTTATTTAATTCCATGACTTATGAAATACTGGTACATTTCTGAATCTTTTAAAATACCTACTGGGGTAGCAAAGTGACGTCTAGTCATACGAGGAGCCGCTTTTTCAGGAAACTTTTTATTGACTAGTGCACGATACCAAACGCTGCCTTCTTTAAAGATTGTTAAATGCCGAGGATTCAATGCTGTCAACTTACTAGAACGGGATGGGACAGGGTGGCTTACCTCAAACCATCAAAAGTAATGCGGCAAGTGGGAAGGGTGGCTCTTGATGAATTGTGCCAAGTTTAGTTGTCATTTTTGGGATATATCAGTTTAACATGTAAAGGGATATATATTACATTATTTTATTCTTCTGATCTCTTTTTATCGATTTGGCGTTACTGAATTTCAATTTCAAAGTTTTTGTTGCCGATGCGAAATATTTTAAAACAGTGTTCAAAAAAGAAAAACCTAAGGAAAAAAGTACAACAATAATTCATGGTACCCTTTTTAAATATTCAGGACACAAAAGGTAACAAAGTTAAGCAACTGAAGGACGTTCAAGAACCTAGCGGCATTGTCGCCGGGGAGTTGGCTTTACCAACAGAACCTGTCTTGGGGAATTGGAGGATCAAAGCAACAGTTCTGGTAGGTTTTGAGGATGGCGTGAAAAACGCGTGCGCGTGTATTTAGAACCGGTGCAGCATCGAGAACTGGATAAGAAATTTACAGGTCGTTACTTGTCTATTTCATGGTTATCAAACTGACCCAGTTAAAGCTAGGTTTAATACAAAAATTGATTATTTGTATACATATAATTTTACTTCATTTAGTTATTTTCTTTTATTTCATTTTCACATCTCAAACTTTCATGATTTTTTATTTCACTTTTAAGAGCTCCGACAGAAACCAGCTTTTGATATATGTATTACCTGACTGAATTAACATTATTATTAACATTTATTTGTATTAACATTTATTTGGTACATGTAACACGCTAAAAGAACACTCTTCTACAATTCTATTCCAGGGTGAAAGCACCGAGAAAAACTTTGAAATCAAGGAATATGGTAAGCATGATTGAGAATATATTATCACTTTGACCATTTTAGTATAATTAGTATTCATTTGTGAGCGGAAATAGATAATCGAGTCCATTTTTATCATGGCCTTACAATGTTTTTGCCAAATTGATAAATGCCTCAACGACTGATTTTTTACTTTCAGTTTTGCCTAAGTTTGAAGTGACTCCGTCCCTGCAGTCAATTATCTTGAAGACAGATACCACATTTACCGGGAAAGTGACGGCCAAGTGGGTGTTTCGCTCTGTTTGGATCTAGACATTAATATTTTGTGTGTGAATTTAAAAAGATAGTGAAAGAAAGGTTCTACAGTAATACATAGTGCCTGGTAGTGGTTTAGATACCATTCAAATTATTCAAGTCGATAATTAGAATGCAATAAATGTAACAGACGTTTTTCTCGAAAAGGCAAACAACTACCCAAATTGCCTTAGATCCTCTACTATATTGACGGTCACGGTAACTATGCCACTTCGTATTTTTATGTCCATATTTACATACATAGTGTATACATGTATGCTTAACTGAAGCCGAATATCTCTAAATTACAAAACTATTGATCTTGTGTATATTTACCCATACATTTTCTTGACCAATGCATAAAACCAGTACACCTTGCTATAGTGAAATTCTAAAACCAGGTATTTACTTTAGCTGTTCTATCAAAGGTATACCTACGGCAAACCGGTGCAAGGCACGGTCACCATCAGGGCAGTGCCAACATGCTGTAAGATATGGGACTACAAGGGAAGGATTGGCGTGGAACAAGACTTGTCGGTAAATAGGCTTTTAATTACCTGGCAGCAGACCCAGAAGTTGTTCTGCATGATGATTGCATTCGTATCTACACTGTACATTGCTGGCACAACTTGTATGTATATCGTGCAGTTCACATGTTTGCATTTCCGTACTGGACACTGTGATAAAAAAAGGAATTAATTTAAAAGAAGATGGCTGGTGTTTCAGAGGGATTATGTATCGCACACTGTAGTTGTATAATCTAGCTAATAACATTTTTGCGCACATATACCAGTAGACTTGTTTATATTTACCCATCTTGTTTACAAAATTAATACGGTGGCATATTAAACAAGTATAGATATATAAGTAACACAAGTTTAAAAGTTTGAAAGTTGTCTATATAAATTGCTTTTCATTTATTTCCAGTTGGACCCGGTCACAGGGGAGGCCCCCTTCACCATTACAATAGCTGACCTGAAGAATGGTCATAGCTCCTTGCAGGGCGTTAAGATAGAAGCAAACGTCACCGAAACCCTGACTGGAATCACTCTGTCTGGTGAAACATCACAGCAATTTGTGGACAGTCCTTACAAGATAGAATGGCTGCTGAACTCGCCAAGCTCTTTCAAGCCAGGGTTGCCGTACAAGGGATACGTAAGTTCTATTTCATTTCTGTACTTTGCTTAATTTCGAGCTATCGGTATTTCTAGGCATGGCGTTTTTAGTATGTCATAATCGGACTTTTGCTTGAACTTGGACATTTTATGCGAATATTTTTCCATGGCTTGAATGACTCGAATTGCAACTCCCCCCACCCCAACCAAAAAAAAAATGAATTAAGGATACGAAAGAGCGTGTCTGTACCAGTTATGCTTGGCATAGAATAGTAATTTTTCCATTGATATTTATCGATGCTTATGCACATTAAGTATTGAGACTGAAATTGGAATTAACTTCAAATGTTAGGACTGTAAATTAAATCCAGTTTTAATGTACCTTTTTTTTACTGTGTAACAGCCCATTCTAGCAGATTCCAAGATTTAACATCCTCTCTTTTCACTCCGATGTAAAACTGTCGATTCACTTTAATGCTAAATGTTGTTTAAAATAAACACATAATTTTTCTTAAAACCTCCTCAGGTAAAAGTGGAGTACCAGGACGGCATGCCACTTGGACGAACCGGAATCCTTAACATCAGCACAACTATCCAGTATAAGAACCCCTGGCCCGTGTACATCAATGCGTTCCTCACCAAATTAGGCGGGAATTACATCTTCCCAATCCCTGAGGATGGTCTTGTGGAGGTGACGCTAACACCACCTAGCGAGGCTACGCAATTCAATATGTTGGTATGTGCCAGTCTTCAGTTAGAATGACATTTTGTAATGAAATTGATATTTTTAGCTTTTTTGAACTTCATGTTACAAGAAGTGGAATATCTTGAGTTACAGGAAGTTGAATATCTTGAGTTCGTTGTTGTTGAGTTCGTTCACTTGTCCCCGATTCTTTTTTTAGCTTGTTTTGTATAACTTGCTATACCAGATATTACTCAGTGTTTCATTTTCTTTTTGTATTTTATCCAACTAATGCACTAGTGCAAGGGCTTCTACTATTGAATCCGAACTACATAGTTTACCTATTGCATGTTTCAGGCAAACTATGAAGACGGCTACGGCATCAAGTCGGTCAGTCGAATGTACTCCCCGAGCGAAAACTATATGCAGTTGAAAGTGGTTGCGGAGGCAGAAACTGTAGCCGTTGTATGTTTTTATGTCACGTGGCAGTACTGCTGTTGACTCATTATATCATTAATTCGTTAATTTCGTTTATTAATTAATTAATTTCGTTAATTAATTGATTCATTATTTAATTTCGTTAATTAATTAATTTTGTATTTATTCATTTTTTCATTATATCAAAGCAATAATGTTTTTATCCTCATTTGTAACTGTTGTACCTGTATATAAAAATTGTTTAAATTATCATCTCTCATTATAGGCGGGTACAACAGCTACGTTCCAGGTGACCACTACAGAGCCAGTGAGCAAGATCTTCTACCAGGTTAGTGAAGTTTTAACATGTAATACATGTACGTAGGCCTATCACATTTGATATTGCTCAAAACGCTCATATTTAATTTAATTTTTTTTCTTCTCTTTTGGAAAATATGCTAGTATGGTGATTGTGTTTGTTCTATAGTTCATACATGTTCAGTTTATGGTCAAATCCAGTCGTTAAAAACCAGAGGTTGCTGGGGCTCAAAGATACTTAACGCTTACTTCGAAGTGCCAGTGAACCATATGGGAGCAGCTTTATAATCACTTTTGAGTAGTTACATGATTCTGTCCATGCATATTTCCAGATCCTTGGCCGAGGAGAGATAGAAGCTTCCGGCAGAGTAACACTGAGCTCAGATAACACATTCGATGTGGTGCTGACCCCCAATATGGGCCCCCAAGCCGATATGGTTGCATATTACGTACGGCAGGACGGAGAGATCGTCAATGATGGCATCACATTCATGGTTGACGGTGCTATTCAGAACGCTGTAAGTATTGTGTACTGACATTAAAGGAAGACTGATAGACTTGAAGACAGATATTCAATCTATACCATATATTATATAGGCAGTTATATCAGGGGCAGATTCAGAGACATTTTTGACAGACTTTCAAGTTATCCAATGTTGACCGTCTTCCAACAGAAAAAAATCTCCGGAATACGCCTCTGCATATGATATATAATTATAGGCAGATATATAATCTGAGATATAATAGGCCTACAGACCTATTCTCTCGACTAATGGGTGGTTAAAGAGGATAGTGTTTTAACTTGACCAGGTCACCTTGAAAGTGTCCAAGAATGAGACAGAGCCAGGGACCAATGTGGACGTGGAGGTGACCGCTGACCCGGACTCTACTGTATGTCTATTGGCCGTAGACCAGAGCGTGCTGTTACTGAGGAGCGGAAATGACGTCACCAAAGACAACGTACGTACCGAGTATCTGTAGCTATTTTAAATATCTTTCTTAAAATTCGATCAAGTAGGCTTGATACATAATGTCGTAAAGATAATAGACAGAGTCAACCGGAATTAAAAAGAAACGATACTTATAATAATTGATATAGTATTATGAATTATGTATTATTATTTTATTTTGAAATGCAGTTGTTGAAAAATGAAAAATTTCACCGTTTTCTGCTGATCATCATAATAGGTGAAATACAACAGAATGCGCTTATTTAGTTCATTTAGTTAAGTTTAGCCTATGTTTTGTATCTCCTTCAGGTTTTAAGGGAGATAAGCCTATATGGCGGTAGACCAACATATTATCCATACTATAGGTGGTGGCCTTCCATCATCTCTGGCACGGACGCTGAGGATATCTTTAGGGTAAGCATGGGAACTTAATTTTGCCATATTTAATTATGTTGGTTTTGCAGAATATTTTTCTGGAATCATGTCACCTTCATGAGAAGCATCGCAGAAAAATTTAACAGTTGTTCCTCTGAATGGAGATTCATCTGTGTAGTTTATTGATAATGATCACAAGTTTAAACTTTCCACTTTTTTTCAATTTTGAGTAGAGAGTAAATAGTTTAAAACTAATGATGAATAACAATTGTTAACATGCGTTTTTGCTCTTTCCAAAAGCTCATTTTCAGCAAGAGTTTCGAAAAAAATGCTCGTCATAGGCGTTCTGTTATTGTCACAGCCAAAAGCATTAGTTACATAACAAAGGACGATAGCCTAATAATAGAAAAATCTGTACAATATATTCAAATATAGTAATAAAACCATTTAGCGGCTGCTTGTATGTGAGAATGCTTTTCACATTTTAAAAAGTCTTATCATCTTTCAGAACGCCGGTCTTGTGTATCTGACGGATTTCTTGGTTTACCAACACCAACAAAGTAAGTGTGGAAATGCAGGAGCGGATCCAGGATTATTTGAAGGGTGGAGGGGGTCCACGGATGCGAAGCTGACACCCCCCCCCCCCCCCCCACACACACACACACACACACTTGGCGTGGGGTTCGGTATTTTAGAGGGCGAACGGTACCATTTGGTACGGTTAGAACACTATGATTCTGTTAGTCAAAGTTCTATTTCAAGAGGGGACCAGAAGACGAGGGGGGGGGGGGGGGTGGGGGGGGGGAGAAGGACCACCCTGACCCGCCCTCTAAATCCGCCACTGAAATGCTAATACCTGGTATATGATATCATTGTACATAACGCACGCACGCCATCCTTATGTACTCATTATTTATAATTTTCGCATATTCACGGTTTTTTTCTTAATGTTAAAGGGAAACTACACTTTTGGGGGGCCCTAAAAATAAATCTAATTTCGATTTCCCTGCCTTTGAAAACTTTCTATATGAATTCTTCTTTCAGTTGCTGATTAGATAGATTATCACCATTTCATCTCAAGTACTCAATAAAAATATATTTCCAAATGCCTGTATCTCATTTTGCAGCATATTACTACTCTTCAAGAATGTCATCAATCAGTGGGCCTAGCCTCGCGGTTCCAGATTCAGTCGATAGTGACGTAGCAGAGAGTTTGCAAGACGTGGGCAGAGTTCGAACCCTGTTCCCTGAAACATGGCTGTGGAACAACATAACCACAACGTAAGGGTGCTGCTTAACTTTTACCCTCTGATATCTCAGGGGTCTCTAATGTACAGTATACAAAATTGTAGAAGAGTCGATACAATAATTTTGTAAGAGACTACTAATGACCCCTGTGGTCATAAAGTCCTTTGGTTTCTAAATCTGGCGCAAGACGTAATCGGGTATATTGTTAGTACGTCGCTCTCGTCATTTACGTACTTGCAATGTCACAGAGCTTGAGGGTCAAATGAGCTGCCGAGGTCAAAATTGTTGTGAATTAATATCGCTCTATTTCATTTTAGAGAAGAAGAAAGGGGAGAGAGATTGTTGTAGAAGCGATAAAAATCATTTTTATCATTTAATATCATTAAACATAAGAAAAAAATTATACCGCTGTCAACATACCAGTAAATTTGTTTCCTCTCGGAATCCATTTGCATTTCGCATTCTGTTTGTAATATTGTACACAATATATGTCATTAAAAAAACTTGAACCTCTCTGTGGATATCTTTCCAGATCCTCTGCCCCAGTGACCATATCAGATACCGTCCCTGATACCATCACTTCTTGGGTGGCCAGTGCCTTCGCTGTCAACCCCAACACTGGGCTTGGAGTAGTTGAGCAACCGACCAAAGTATGTCCTTCACCTTTGACCTCCCTGGCAAATGCTCTGGTTCACTAGGATATACGATGACATACATGTAGATTAAATCATGCGGGTCTTTATCTCAAGTCCCTCAGGTTTAACATGAAGAATATTCCCATATATTGTATGTAAATTATTTATTTATTTAAGTCATAGTTAAAATGTCCCAAAAGTTCGTGCAATAATAACGCAAATTGTGACGTCCCATACCGGGGTATGTCTTTATATTTACGTTATCATTCTGAATTTTAAAAAATCTTATATTGTTCAGCAGGGTGAAGTTAAGAGATCCTTATAACTTCATCTATATTCGATGTTTGCTTATAATTTTTTTCTTGTTTCAGCTAAGAGTATTCAAAAGCTTCTTTGTGTACATCAACCTGCCATATTCTGTCACGAGAGGAGAAATAGTCATCATTCAGCCTATAGTGTTCAACTATCTAACACAGGATATGATGGCAAGTGTTTGTAATATATATATAATTTTTCGTACCCTATTGAAAGGAGCTGTAGTATTTATTTTAGAAATAATTTATTTGTATCTCTCTCACTTCCTACTCTCTCCATGGTTGTAACATATTTTAAAAAATAAACCGATGTGGATCATGGAACTCATAATCACTGACCCACTCACTCTGTACTAGTACTGAGAGAGAGAGAGAGAGAGAGAATGACAGAGAGATGTGAAGGAGAGTACATGTTGTTTATGTATAAATAATCAAACAAACAGCATAATAGACATCCAATCGATAAAAAGGTTAAATTAAAATTATGTCGTTTATTCAAGTATAAATTGAAATATTTTAATTTAAATCAGGTAACCGTGACCTTGAAAAATAATGGGGGATTCCAGAGCCAAATCCGTGACGCCAGTGGAAAACTCACTACGACTGCAGTGGATCAGGTGGAACATGTCTTGGTACGTGGCTATTGCATGTACGCACCCTCTACCTAGGTCACCGAGTTAGAATGTTGCTCTAGAAATACATAGATTTTACTTTGGCCATTCTGTGCATATTTCTGTACTGTGGAAATTGTTGCACAAAATGACGTCATCACTGGCCTTTCGCAGAGAGTTCATGTAGATATAAACCCGTGAATAACTGTTCGTTAATTTAAATGGAATGGATTTATTGTATAATTATTATCTGCATAGTGAAATATATGTACATAATATGATTCTTTAGACGGCTAAAATAAGCAAACGGTTTAATGAATCAGTGACTAAGTAAAATACAGAAACAAGGAAAAAAGACTTGCCTTATGGTTTTAGGAGTATTTTTTGCTGAATACACCTATGTGAATATGGAACGACTTTATTTTAATTGGGTTTTAGGTAAAGGCCAACACCGGCAAGTCTGTATTCTTCCCTGTGATTCCCACGAGTCTTGGCAAGATAGACGTGGAGGTGCACGCCCAGGCCAGCATGGCCGCCGATGGAGTCAGGAGACAGCTCTTAGTGGAGGTTAGTTAAATAAAATATAAATAACATTTCAACTGAGCATTAAAAAAAGACAGCTGCTACTATAAGTGATGCATATTATGCGCTTTAATTTTGTGGATCTACTCATATGAATGATGTTGCCAAAATGTAGTGCCTTGTATTACATTGCAGTTTGAAATATTTGAAAATTATATTTCTTGCAGCCCGAAGGGGATCCGCGGGAGTCGAACATAGCACGGATGATAGTGAAAGAAGCCAATGCACTTTACAGCGAGAACATACCCATTGTCTTGCCGGAGAATGTGGTACCAGATACCGCCAGACTGTCTGTCTCGGTTATAGGTAAGTCTTTGTCCTATTAGGGGACGTGGTCTCAGATACCGCCAGGGGAGCTATTTTGGGGGAAACAGAGTCTCTCTACATTCCGACTTATCTTGTATTAATTAAGATTGTATAACGACGTGCTCTCCATAATATAGGTACAACGTAAATACTTCTCAGCTGGTAAAGTTTTAAAAAACGAGAGGGAAAGCCAAGTTTTATCTTTGTTAAAAATAAATAACCGAATAAATAAATTAATTAGGTAATGTAAAAACGCATAAATGAATACTTCTGCGTTTCATCCAATGCGTAGGCGATCTAATTGGCAACATAGTGGGCAACCTGGACAACCTGATCCGTCTTCCTACCGGATGCGGCGAGCAGACGGTGTCTGCCCTGGCCCTGGACGTTTATGTCGCCAAGTACCTGAAGGCAGTGGGGCTGTTGACAGGAGAGAAGAAGGAAATGTTGTTAGGATTCATAGAGAAAGGCAGGTTGACAGGGGACGAATATGTTTGAGCTGTGGGCTTTAATGACTTGTTCATTTATTCTGTCAGTTGTGATGTATGATATTAATGGCATGTGACGCCTCTTCTTTTCACGCTGTGTCCTGTGTATCTTGAATCTTTTCATGCATTATGTAACTTTAAAATGCGCCTGGGGATATTTTAATTTGTATTTTAAACCAAGGTATCATTTTGTTTGAAAGATTTTAATTAATGATTAATTAAGCAGAGATGAAGGGAGAGAATGTTATGTATGATATTAAATAGCAGTTTGATGTTAGAAGTGACTGGGTACCTGTTTTAATTCCAGGGATACTAAGTGAGATGAAATTTCAAAATAATGATGGTTCCTTCGGATTTTGGGGAGAGACTGGAAGCACATGGTAAGCCAGGTTTTAGGTTGTAATTACTAGTATGCTTTGTAAAAAGTGAATGTCTGGCTGTCTCTGTTTCTATTGTGAACGTTTAATATCTGAGAATCCTAGTTTTTCGTTAAAAAGGCGTTTCCATGTATATCGCACTGCAGTCCTATATTTGATTGTAACAATGAAACCATTTGATATGTTGTTTTTACAGGTATATCCAAATGTATCTTTAATGAACATGTAGGCCCTAATTATGCAAAACAATGACTGAGATACAATGTTTGATTTAATTGTCACCTATTAAACATTATGATGAGCGCCACATTTCATACCGAACACTTTCGTCAACCAGGGTGACAGCTTATGTTATGAAAATTATCCACCTGGCCAAGGAATTCGTTTATGTTGATGGCGAAGTTCTCCGTAAAGGTCTAGGCTACCTAATCGGCAAACAGGACCCGTTAGGATCTTTCCCAGAGATTGGCAATATTTACAACACATATTTGCAGGTTTGTGAAAATAAAAATATTTCGAAAACCACAATCTTTTTACAGTCTTCCGCATCGATTTATTTGTTCAATTTAGCGTGTTTATCCCGATCTATTGTTTTCAAATCGATACATTTTGACATCGTAGAAAATAACATCAATACATTTGGTCCTCATACACTGTTTACATATAATTGAGTGTTTTAACCAAACCACCCTGTCTGCAGCGCTAAACATCTATACCCTCTTTTTCAGAACGTTGATATACATGTACAGTATATACGCCGGTTTCGCTGGAAACCACATTTGTGCGTTGCCTAATATCTGTATTTTTACTTAAATTTGACGAATTCTTTTAAAAGCCTGTATGCACACAAATCTGTGTAAAATATACGTTTTATATATGTGAACAATCTACGGTTTGGATATTTCAGGGAGGATCTGGCAGAAATATTCCTCTTACTGCTTTCGTCCTTATCGCTCTGAAAGAAAATGACGATCTGGTTAACGTAAGTAGGAAGAATCTTGAAAAAGACCATTGCGACATAAGAAATTAAGGTGCTTATTTGAAAAAAATATGGATATGCTAAACAGTGCCACAAAGGCACACAGAGTAGTATAAACTTAGAATCGTAAAATTAAAAAACGTTATAACGCCGCACTGAAATACAACCATGCCTGTATTAGACAAGAAACTCAATATAAGCGTTATACTGGTAACGAAATCTCACTTTTCAGGCTAATTGGTTGGAATTTCATGCTGCTATGGACAGTGCTGTCAGGTATCTGGAATCTCAGATCGACTCCCTGAATACTTCCTATCCGCTTGCCATCGTTTCCTACGCGCTACATCTGGCAGAGAGCCCAAGGGCAGGGGAGGCTTGGACTAAACTCCACGCACTGGCCACCGTTGAAGGTAATGTGATGCGTTAAGGGTACCACTTGATAATTATATAAATGGTGGTGCGGGAGGTGGAAACTGTAACCTGGGGTAATGTGGTCTGTTTTTTATTTGGATACTCATAAGCTGATCAGGTGAAGAAATCTTGTTTAATTAATGTTTTGGATGTGAAATTATCCCAGACGCACGTGTCTAACTAGTTTCTATCACATTCCCAGGTGGGCTGAAGTACTGGCAGATCAGCGACACTCCCCGCTGTCGATACCGCTACTGTTATAACCCGCCCACACAGGAGGTGGAGACGGCCGCTTATGCCCTCATGGTCCACAGCCTGAAGAACGAATCCAATGCAGGGATTCCTATCCTGAAATGGCTGGTGACGGAGCAGAACTCTTACGGTGGTTTTGGTTCCACTCAGGTAAGGGATGGTCCATGCTGTGAACGAGTCGGATATCCTTTTGTATCGTAAATATTTATTGGTTTTCATTTTCAAATTGTCACACGGGATAAATATGTGATGCTGCATGTTGTCTTAAAGAATATCTGTTTATTGGTAGNATCAGCAGGGTGAAGTTAAGAAATCCTTATAACTTCATCTGTATTCGATGTTTGCTTATAATTTTTTTCTTGTTCCAGCTAAGAGTATTCAAAAGCTTCTTTGTATACATCAACCTGCCGTATTCTGTCACGAGAGGAGAAATAGTCATCATTCAGCCTATAGTGTTCAACTATCTAATACAGGATATGATGGCAAGTGCTTGTATTCTATATATAATTTTTTCGTACCCTATTGAAGGAGCTGTAGTATTTATTTTTAGAAATAATTTATTTGTATCTCTCTCACTTCCTACGCTCTCCATGGTAGTAACATATTTAAAAAATAAACTGATATAGATCATGGAACTCATAATCACCGACCCACGCACTCTGTACAAGTGCTGAGAGAGAGAGAGAGAGAGAGAGAGAGAGAGATGAGAAGGGGAGTGCAAGTTGTTAATGTATAAATAAACAAACAACATCGATGAAAAGGTGAAATTAAAACTATGTATAAATTAAAATCAAGTATTAATCGAAATGTTTTATTTTAAATCAGGTAACCGTGACCTTAAAAAATAATGGGGGATTCCAGAGCCAAATCCGCGACGCCAGTGGAAAACTCACTACGACTGCAGTGGATCAGGTGGAACATGTCTTGGTACGTGGGTATAACATGTACGCACCCTCTACCAAGGCCACTGAGTGAGAAATTTGCACCAAATATTCCGATTTTTTACAGATTTTTGTTTGGCCATCCTGCGCATATTTCTATATTGTGGAAATGGTTGCTCAAAATGACGTCATCACTGGCCTTTCGTAGAGAGTTCATGTAGATAAACCCGTCGAATTCTGTTCGCTAATTTAAATGGAATATAGATTTGTTATATAATTATGATTTGCATGGTGAAATATATGTACATAATATGATTCTTTAGACGGCTAGAATAAGCAAACGATTTAATGAATCAATGACTAAGTAAAATACAGAAACGAGAAAAAAAAAACAGTCTCGTATGCCTCATGGTTTCAGGAATAATTTTTCCCTTCCATGAATACGGAACACCAATCTGAATATGCAACGACTTAATTTTAATTGCATTTTAGGTAAAGGCCAACACCGGCAAGTCTTTATTCTTCCCTGTGATTCCGACGAGTCTTGGTAAGATAGACGTGGAGGTGCACGCCCAGGCCAGCATGGCCGCCGATGGTGTCAGGAGACAGCTGTTAGTGGAGGTTAGTTAAATAAAATATAAATAACATTTCAACTGAGTATTTAAAAAAGACAGCTGCTACTATAAGTGATGTATATTATGCGCTTTAATTTTGTGGATCTACTCATATGAATGATGTTGCCAAAATGTAGTGCCTTGTATTATACTGGCGTTTGAAATATTTGGAAATTATATTTCTTGCAGCCCGAAGGGGATCCGCGGGAGTCGAACATAGCACGGATGATAGTGAAAGAAGCCAATGCACTTTACAGCGAGAACATACCCATTGTCTTGCCGGAGAATGTGGTACCAGATACCGCCAGACTGTCTGTCTCGGTTATAGGTAAGTCTTTGTCCTATCAGGGGATGTGGTCTCAGATACCGCCGGGGGAGCTATTTTAGGGGAAACAGACTCTCTCTACATTCCGACTTATCTTGTATTAGTTAAGATTGTATAACGACGTGCTCTCCGTCATATAGGTACAATGTAAATACTTCTCAGCTGGTGAAGTTAAAACGAGAGGGAAAGCCAAGTTTTATCTTTGTTAAAAATAAATAACCGAATAAATAGATTAAATAGGAAATGTAAAAACGCATAACTGAATACTTCTGCGTTTCATCCAATGCGTAGGCGATCTAATTGGCAACATAGTAGGCAACCTGGACAACCTGATCCGTCTTCCTACCGGATGCGGCGAGCAGACGGTGTCTGCCCTGGCACTGGACGTTTATGTCGCCAAGTACCTAAAGGCAGTGGGGCTGTTGACAGGAGAGAAGAAGGACATGTTGTTAGGATTCATAGAGAAAGGTAGGTTGACAGGACGAATATGTTTGAGCTGTGGGCTTTAATGACTTGTTCATTTATTCTGTCAGTTGTGATGTATGATATTAATGGCACGTGACGCCTCTTTTCACGCTGTGTCCTGTGTATCTTGAATCTTTCCATGCATTATGTAACTACAAAATGCGCCTGGGGATATTTTAATTTTTATTTTAAACCAAGGTGTCATTTTGTTTTGCAAGATTCTAATTTATGATTAATTTAGCAGAGATCCCGGGAGAGAATGTTATGGGTGATATTAAATAGCAGTTTGATGTTAGAAATGACTGGGTACGTGTTTTTATTCCAGGGATACTTAGTGAGATGAAATTTCAAAATAATGATGGCTCCTTCGGATTTTGGGGGGAAACTGGAAGCACGTGGTAAGCCAGGGTTTAGGTTATAATTACTAGTCTGCTTTGTAAAAAGATAAGGTCTAGCTGCTCTGTTTCTATATATATATTGTGGACTATCTGAGAATCAACGTTTGTGTTAAAACGTGCTCGCTGAAGGGCGTTTCCATGTATCGCTCTGGAGTCATATTTGATTTTAGGAATTAAACCATTTGATATGTTGTTTTTACAGGTATATTCAAATGCATCTTTAATGAACATGTAATTATGCAAAACAATGGCTGAGATACAATGTTTGATTTAATTGCCACATTTTAAACATTACATTGAGCGCCACATTTCATACCGAACACTTTCGTCAACCAGGGTGACAGCTTATGTTATGAAAATTATCCACCTGGCCAAGGAATTTGTTTATGTTGATGGCGAAGTTCTCCGTAAAGGTCTGGGCTACCTGATCGGCAAACAGAACACGTCAGGATCTTTCCCGGAGATTGGCAATATTTACAACACATATCTGCAGGTTTGTGAAAATAAAAATATTTCGAAAACCACAAACTTTTTACAGTCTTCCGCATCGATTTATCTGTTCAATTGTAGCTAATTCACACGTGGCCACCTCGAAAAATGATTTTAGAGTGTTTATCCCGATCTATTGTTTTCAAAATCGATACATTTTGTCATCGTAGAAAATAACATCAATAAAGTTGGTCCTCATGCACCGTTTACATATAATTGAGTGTTTTAACCAAACCACCCTGTCTGCAGCGCTAAAAATCTATCCCTCTTTCTCAGAACGTTGATGTACATGTACAGTATATACGCCGGTTTCGCTGGAAACGACATTTGTGCGTTGCCTAATATAAGTATTTTACTTAAATTTGACTAATTATTTTAAAAAACCTGTATGCATACAAAGCTGTGTAAAATATACGTTATATATATATATATGTGAACAATCTACGGTTTGGATATTTCAGGGAGGGTCTGGTAGAAATATTCCTCTCACTGCTTTCGTCCTTATCGCTCTGAAAGAAAATGACGATCTGGTTAACGTAAGTAGGAAGAATAAAAAGACCATTGCGGCATAGGAACTTAAGATGCTTATTTGAAAAACTATGGATATAACCAATGTCACAAAGGTACACAAAGTAATAATAACTTTGAATCGCATAATTAAAAACGTTAACACGCCGCACTGAAATACAACCATGCCTGTATAAGACAAGACACTCAAAATAAGCGTTATACTGATAACAAAATCGCACTTTTCAGGCTAATTGGTTGGAATTTCATGCTGCTATGGACAGTGCTGTCAGGTATCTGGAATCTCAGATCGACTCCCTGAATACGTCCTATCCGCTTGCCATCGTTTCCTACGCTCTACATCTCGCAGAGAGCCCAAGGGCAGGAGAGGCTTGGACTAAGCTCAACGCACTGGCCACTGTTGAAGGTAATGTGATTCGTTAAGGGTACCACTTGATAATTATGTTAATAGTCTTTATTTCTCATTGATGGATTTAAACGTATCTCTTTGACCACGCAAGTGCACATTTGTTTAAAGTGATAGCAGAGTGATCTTATTTTAAGCAAATACTGGATTTAATGTGGGATGTTCTGCACTTATTTGAATGTATTTCTTGGTAAAGGTTGACTCACAGCCCCCGCCTTCCCATAGGCACACTTGTGTTTATCACATTTTAGATACTACTCTGAGTTTCAGTACCGTGAACAGTGATACTAGACGGGCGTATTTAGCCTCTGCCTTAATCTTAGTCGTTTTAAAATATTAGAGAGCTTTCGCACCTGTACGTTTAGGCAGACGACTACGTTTAGGTCATCATATATTGCTGTCTAGTGACGTGTACACATACGGTTAGAGAGAACATTATCCGCGGCTAGATTGCTATCCGTCAATGAAAAACGGTTTGACAAATCAGCATAATTTTTTGAAATCAAGCCTTTCAAAATTGATCGTTTCTCTGCTAAAATCATATTGGATATTTCATTTTTGCAATATACGTGAAACATTTTGTCTCCGTCATTTGTGTCTATGTTTTTGATACTATTGAAATATAGATTTTACCCGTAAAAATGGCATTTTCCACTGACCACAAGGCAGTCAGAACTGGCCTTCCGCACGCGTGACTGATCGTATGATAAGACTGTTAGGTCATCATTTTGCGAGCAGTTGTTACGAGTACACATATTTTTATAAGTGGTCTGTAGACTAATTATTAACCGTCTGCAGTTGACGCATAAGACGCAGGATATCCGTAAGGTAAGTTCCGTTTAGTAAGATACTACTAGTAGTTCGATTTTTTCTTTAGCTGATAGGACATGTCTCCTTGAATTTTAATGCAAATTTTATGAAGCCTTGTTTCGAAAGTCACATGGCGTCCTGTTTTGTGTATTTGAATAAATGAATAATAAATAAAAATAAGGACATCACATCTTTCTATACATGTAATTGTCTCTAATAGCAAATGTTGATTAATATTCATTATATCAGTATCAAAAACTGACGCTGCATTAATTGGTGACACGATTATTTTTTCAGCTGAAAATTGGGACAACATGCCGCCTCTTAAGAAGCGCCGTACTGATTCATCAGCAGATTACGTCAGTTACCTAAAAGACAAACCTTCGAGAAAGAAGGCCTTGAATTAGAAAAGAAAGAGCCAGAAGCTCAAATTGAGAAAGACAAACAAATGATGGAGATGAGAAACTGAATTGACATACCATGCTCTTGCTGCCTACAAGATACACATGGGCTGAATCTTGTTAAAAAAACATTGGTTTTTATTCAAGATTTCAATAAAATAAATGTTTGCTTGCGGTATAAATTTTACATTCTACCCTTTAATTTTCCATACACACAATGTATACGTGTACAGTTCATGCTAAATAGTTCTCCAAGGTGGGAGGATCTAGTTAAAAGTACCGACTCGTCTGATTGCCATACACACAGGTATTGCAGTTGACCAGAAGACCAGTGTAACGTGACAGAGATTCCCCTATAACAGAGAGTCCGCTTCCCATTCACTTGTACAGGTGAGCCTCGGCCTAGATTTTGACCCACTAAGGTCAGGCCAATTAACCCTTACAATCTAACTATATGGGGGGCGGACTTTCTGCTACACGGACCCTGAGTTTCGTTACACCTGATCTCCATAAATTGCGTATGGAAGACCATTCTAAAATTATCTAACCTGTCCAATGGCGTATGTCCTAATTGAACGTCTCTGCTTACAGCACGTGAAACATGTTTCAGCCTACTGTGCAATTCGACTATCCGTAAAAGCTAACCGGGTCTTTCTGCGAAATCACGAAAAAATAAACGTTGGTCATTTTACGGTTACGGATAGCTAAATGTAGTCGGTCGCCTAAACGTGCAGGTGCGAAAGCTCTCTATTAACTCTGCTGCTTACATTACATGCGGGAAGTGAAAATCGTAACCTGGGGTAATGTGGTTTACTTGTTATTTTGATACTGGGTACTCATAAGCTGATCAGGTGAAGAAAACTTGTTTTATTAATGTTTCGGATGTGAAATTATCCCAGACGCCAGTGTCCAACTCGTTTCTATCACATTCCCAGGTGGGCTGAAGTACTGGCAGATCAGCGACACGCCCCGCTGTCGATACCGCTACTGTTATAACCCGCCCACACAGGAGGTGGAGACGGCCGCTTATGCCCTCATGGTCCACAGCCTGAAGAACGAATCCAATGCAGGGATCCCTATCCTGAAATGGCTGGTGACGGAGCAGAACTCTTACGGTGGTTTTGGTTCCACTCAGGTAAGTGATGGTCCATGCTGCGAACGAATCGGATGCCCTTTTGTATCGTAAACATTTTTTGGTTTTCATTTTCAAATTGTCACCAGGGATAAATATGTGCTGCTGCATGTAGTCTTAAAGATTACCTGTTTATTGGCACAGCGCAATAAGCTAATGGGGAATTGAGTCATCTCTCACACCATTGCTAAATATGGTGTGATTTAGCACCCAATGGGACCCTCTTGGCTGATTTGTGTTTTAATATGCTACGAGTACTTTGTCTTTTTGATTAAATCTGATTTAAATTTTAAACAGAAAGATCTGTCTTATTTTTTAGGACACAGTAACTGCGCTAGCCGCTCTGACTAATTACGGGGCTCTGTACTCCAAAACCAGGGACCTGAACATCGAGGTCAGCACCGGGGCGTTTTCAAGAAATTTCTTGGTCAATGACAATAACGCCATGGTTCTTCAAATGGCCGAAGTGAGTAAATCTCTCTCATTGTTTTTTTGTGTATTTGTAATGAAGTTATGGTGACGATTTGGCAACTGTTATGCCCCAACCTCTAGATTCTTCGGTGGGTGTATTATTTATTTTATTTATCTGTGCTTATTATTATTTACGCGCACTCACACACACATACTTCAGACATATAATTCACATTTTTTAAGAAGTCACGAAATCACATCGCATTGTAAAACACTTCAGGAAATGAAATTGAATAAAAACAATTATAATTCTTCAACTTTAACATTAATGTCATAAATAGAAATTAGGAAGTCATTTTAAAGCCACACAAAGTCACACGTACTAGACATGTTATCTCGTAGAGAATGAAATAAAAATAATCGTCTTAAAATAATGTTAAGAAAGAGCCTGAATTTAACTGTTTATGATTCACTTTCAGCTTCCAGATGTTGCTAGTGAGGTACAGGTCTCTGCCAATGGACATGGCTCGGCCTTGCTTCAGGTGATTAGAATATTTGAAAAAAATTAACAAAAAAAAACATGTCACATAATAGTTATTCAGGTTGTATCATTCTTGTTTTCTTCTCTTAAGTAATTGTAAATGGCATTTAAGATAGCTCATGTGCGTAATAAAAAATCGCCATTTTATCTCCATCCCACCGTATCGGTTTTTTTTTTCATCATTTATATGTTTATTCATTCTTTGGATCCAGGTGACTGCAAGATACAACGTAAAGTCGGAAGCCAGAGAAAAATCGTTTATGCTCAATGTGACGATAGTAGAAGAAACTCAAAACTTCTTGAAACTCAGAATTTACATGAGGTATTTATGCTTCAGTGTTTGTATTATTTTACTTCAGATATAACTTTAAAACTACACCATTGATGTTTTGAAATAAGTTTTTGGTTCTTTTCTTTATTTTGTGTTTTCAGTTAATTTGTCGTTCTTATATATCTACTTATTGTTTTGTATTTTATTTGTAATTGTGTTGTATTTATTTATTTATTTATTGTAGTTATCTTAAGGGGAAAATGTCTGGAATGGCTTTGCTTCAAGTACAGGTTCCAGGAGGATTCGAGGCAGAACTTCAGTCACTGAAGGATAATATTCTTGTTAAAAAAGTGGAAATGAAAAAACGCATCGTCAATATTTACTTTGACTCGGTAAGATTTCAAATGATGTGTTTGTATAACCTTCTTGGTTTAAAATTTATTGCTGATCACGTCCAACTGAAAGCAATTCAACCGCTTCCAATAAACAAAGAATTTTCAAGACAGTCGTGGTCATTGTCTCCTATAAATGTTATCCATTCCACATAAGAGTAGCTAAAAGTCTGGTTAATATATGCTATCTATTTCATACAATGCTGATGTTTTTATACGCCAACCCCTCTCTCTCTCTCTCTGTCTCTCTCTCTCTCTCTCTCTCACGCACGCACACACACACACACACACACACACACACACACTACACAGCGATGTCTGAAATAAGTTTAATGACAACTAATTCCAGATTCCGGGGGATCCTATCGTACTTTACGTTGACGTTCCAATGTCCAGAAATGACTTGGTGGGAAAAACACAGCCTGCTACCGTCAAGATCATAGATTACTACTCTCCTGGTACGATTGAATTCTGTTTTGGAATTCCTTATAACATTTAATTGATTGAATGCTGAAGGTTGGAAATTAGTTGAGCTTAATGCCTTTGTTATAGTTGTATTTGGATTTTTTTAATGTAGTCTCTAAAAATCACATTTTATCACAAAAGTATAAGTTATTTGCATTATAAATCCTTGTCTAAATCCATATCTACTTATCATCCACTCACTAAGTATTATCACGTTTTATACATGTATATATCACGATTTATTTATTTCCTTGACACTCAGGTAACGAAGTGTTGACTACCTACCAGTCCAGCGTTCTGAATCAATTAGAAGTTTGCGATCTTTGCGGTAAAGATTGCAAAATATGCTAAAGTAAGTACAAGAGGAAACACTTTTCTCTCTATAACGGACGTGTATTAACCCTTATTATGTTATTAAAATCGGTGTTCTTGATGTTATCAAATGTAGGATATTCTTCATCCTGGTACAGTAAATACAGACGTTATAAGCCTAGATTTTTGCAAGGTGATATCTTCTGAGAGACCTATTTAAAAAAGCTCTTCGTTCTATTTTAGGTTGAGAAAGAAATCACAGAATCTCGAATGGGCAACCCAGTGTTAAGTCCACCAAAGAAAAGACTTGAACCGTACAAAAGGCAGAATTGCTCCATAATAAAGACATACGTGATTTCTTGCAACACTTTTAAGTTAAAAGCTTAAGGACTTATTAACACGATGTTTAAAACATTATTTGCCATGCAGTTTTGACTCTTTCACTAATTGCTAAAAAAAAACTTGGATCGATTTATATCAATAAAATGATATTAGGAATGGATTTTCGCTTTGCTGGTTACTCTGCCAATGATGTTAATGGTTAACTGAAATATTCTGAAATCAATATCGAAGAAGAAAATGGAAGTAACAAATGAGCAGGCTCCATTGAGACTACCGATAAAATCATTCCATTTGCCGACTTATTAATCTTACTTTAATAAAATTTTATCTTAAGGCTTAACAAGACTGCAAATTAACATGCATCTGAGAAAAAGTTTATTCGACGCATAAAGACGCATTACACGACACCTTGATGACGCTCTCCAAACCCCATCCCCCTCAAAGCATCAGAGACACGAACCACGAACTCACCCTCCACCCCCTCCCCCACCCAAAAAATATTACATGCAAAACGTGACAAAACCAATCAATGCCCAATCCGTGTCCTGCATTCAATACAATAAAAATACACCCTTCGGTCTAATACTCATTAGAAGAATCCTTGATCCGCCAATGACAAAATACACGAAATGACCTAAAAACGCAAATGTTTTGCCTTTACACAAAGGACCACCCAACCTTTTACCTCGACTGCGGTTATGTTTTACAGTTTCCACGTTTTTTTATATTCCTGACCGGCCAATAACAAATTTTATTGTTAAAGTTGCCTTTATTTTTCACCCTGTGGTAAGACGAACTGAGAGACCTAATTTCCGCATACAGGGTTGGAATAAAAGGCTTATTTTTAAAAAATCATTGCGGCAAGCATTTTTACTACAAACCACAGATATTCATATTTATTTGGTCTGAATATGTTTTGTCTCTTCTCGCAGCCAAGAACTTTTTTGTTATGCTAAAATATATCATACATGTGTACAAGGAAGTACTGTAAGATGAAGCTGTTTGGTTCTTTTAATAACTTTGTCTCACAAAGGTGCCTAATACACTGAAGACACGATCTTCACATTATAATAACCACACATCATTGCGCAACTTGAACCTGAGCAGGAAATTGGTGCATCCAAGTAATAAAAAGATGTTTGCCATTTTTGTTATTCCCTTCTGAAATTTACTGAGTGATCCTGTGTGATCCTGTCATCCCCAGGGTCAAAAATTTCCCCAATGCACAAGTATTTTGAGTGTGTTTGTGCGTGCGTATGCGTGTGCATGTAAGTGCGTATGATTAGCGCGCTCAACATGTTGTTCTCTTAATTGTACTCTACATTAGCAAAGGGCCTAATATCAGATATTCAGTAGGAAAGTTCAGATCGAAATCATAACTGACCATAGCGGCATCATTAGAAAATAAAAAAGTTCATCTTTTGTATAAACCTATACCAACTGATATGTTCATGTACATTTACATCAGGTTACATTTGCAGTTTCAGTTTTCAACAGCATACTGCGATGTACTACTCGTAACCGGTAGTACACTGTATATTTTACATCGGACTGATAAATAAAATTTGTTGATTTATTATTTTTCAAAACAGTGACGGAGTTAGGTGGGTGTCAGGGGGTCCTGACCCCCCTTCCATTTCTGAAAAAATCACGCCAGTGGTCCCCTCTTCAAATTAGAATTTTGACTAAAAGCTAAATCATTGACTAAAGCTAAATCATAGTTCTAAACCGTACCAAATGGCACTGTTCGCCCTCTAAAATACCAAATATTTTCGGGGTCCGCTGCCAGGGAGTAGGGGCGGGGGCAGTGTCGGCTTCGCATCTGCGGGTGTCATTCGTTAAAAACGGAGCCTCCCTTCAAATAATTCTGGATCCGCCCCTGCAAAGTTAGCCTACTAGGTCTACTCTGACTTGTGAAAATTTCAGCGGCTATTTTGATTATTTTCCCACTATCTACAGTTTTTATCTGACCAATAGTTTGAAATGTAAAGCACTGTCATGCGTAAAACCGATGTACCGGGGTAACAGGAATGTTTGTCCCCCATTACTGGTAGGCTACTGTGTGCAAAAACCCAAATACTCCGACTAACCATAACCTGTATTAATTATATGAGACCCCATTCCTAAGACTACAATTCCTGTCACACCGATATTTGAAACTCTAACCCTAACTCTCTGAAAAGGGCTAAATTCTGAAAGATTTGTGTAGGAAACACTTCTTATAAAGAAAATAGCTGAAAACACGCCTGGCATCAGAGATATCATCGCTTAAAAACGCAGACAAAACATCTCTGACCAAATACTTGTGGGTAGCACGACAAGTCTTACTANCGTTTTCGTGCGGGTTGTGCCAAAGAACATTATACCATTCAATGCCCTAGCTCTGGTATAAATACAACACAATGGACTAGTATACATGTATAAACGCCTTTGAGGCTTGTTAGCTTAAAAAGTGTCCATATATTACCAAAATGAATTTAAGTGCTTGTTTATGCGGATTTTATGGTCGACGATAGCTTGAGTTAAGCTCGATATAACATCGGCTTAAGTTTTAAGAATTTGCGGAACTAACGACCTCCTTTAATGCTTTAGAATTCAATTTTGAAAGATTCATTGCATTATATTTCAGTTCCTACATAATGATTTCCCCCAGAAGATTCCGTCCTGGTTTGACTTACGACATTAGCGTCTCCATATTAAAACTGGACACCCCGAACTTACCGGTGACAATTACTGCCGTCATTGACCGAAACGGCACGGCAATTGCTGGCGGAGTCGGAGTGTTTCGTCTCGGTAAGGATTTAATTACATATTTAATTACATGGTCAGACACATAATTAATCTAGTAAAAGGACATCAGTAATAGATGTACGGTTTGAAATAGCGCTCATGCATCGGACGTCCTTCTCTTTTTATAACCCCCACCCCCACCCCTCTAAACCACTCGGGCCCTCGTCGAAACCCTTGACATTATTTATAGGTTAATAATTATGTAAAATGTCTACGTAAAACATGAAGGGATTGTATAATTCCAAGGAGGCTTATGTGGCGTTTGAGACAGCATTCTTTCTATCACTTTATCCATCCTCGATCTGCATATTTATGGCAGAAGAAGACAAGCCGGTCAACAGTCTTGCTCTGCTGGCACTTGTTCTGGTTCGTAAGTGAATGTTAAAGATGACCCTCTATCTCCACGGTGCCCTGATTACAATACTGATGTGAAGATACCAGTGCTGTAGATATCTAACTGGTTTATACTTTATCTCGCACTCGTTCGATGTGGAGGAAAGAGACGGTTTGAGATAAACCGAGATCTAACAGTCAACAGAGCTTGTTAACAGAAGAAATGTTATTATTTATCCCAGTACCTTGCATGCGTGGCAGGTCCCGACTGTGGCATGTTACTGTGATAGTATGTACCGTATATGAAGGCACGCAGTTGTTGGCTTCATGCCTTTAAAGAGACACCGTATCTGCAGTATAATTGATGTCCTCACTCCAATTTGATTCCCTTTATCTGTAAAGGTGTATGCTTTATCAAGGAGTCCGGATATGTAATAGCAAGCGTTGATGTTTTCTCCAAACCACGAATGACTGTTAAGGCTTTTATCGTTTAAAGATAATGGCGATGTAGCACCAAATTACCAGCGGTTAACCTTATTTGCCACATCTTAAATTTAAATGAAAAAATATTAAATCATTCAGGGTCAGTTTTGTTGTACAGTGTACTCCAGATTAAAAATAAAATTATAAGACAACACCCGCTCATTTGGAGTTGCCACCCATTACCTGTCACGTAAATAATTCACATGGGATATTTTTGCTTAGCATATCTGAGTGCATTTTATCTCTGAATGTAAATGGCTTATAATAAAATACCTAAATATTTTTTCTTTTCTTTTTTATTTTAGGTTCATCTGGGACACTGTCGATTCAGGTAAGCTCTATCTTTTAAGTTCATTCTCTCTCTCTTTCTCTCTCTCCATTTATATACATTAGCGCAAACACATGCACGCAAACTAATATTACATTTGTAATATATATTCAAAGTAGCGTTATCATTTAATTACGCAACTAGGGCCTGGTTCTTATTGACATTTTAATATATTCCACTTAAAAGTGCAGCGACTAAAATGGGCGACTATAGCGACGGAAGAAGTCAATTAAACCACTCCTAATCACCACTTCAAGCTGCACTAAACTTGTAAAATACATGAAAAAAAGTACTAGAAGCATTTACACTCTTGCGGTATGTTTATCCAGAGTTTTAGTGCAGCTCATTAAAAATAAAGATAATAGATAACATTATCCTCAAATTCACTAAGCAATTACATAATTACATGTTGTAAGCATACATTACACTCCGCATAGGTCGATCCCATCTGATAACAAAACTGACTTTCGGCAAATCAGGTTGTCACATTCATGAATATTATTCCTTTCCATCTTCCCAAAGCAAATCACAACTTGGACGTTGATAAAAGCGACATTACCAATTGTATGAGAAATACAAAAATTGAATGTCCTCCGTCTTTATTTCCACAATATACATGCACAACGCCCAAATATGTATGAACACATAAACGATTCTGATAAAAGTAACGCTTCTCTTAATCCATCTTTTGAGTTATTTATGTACTAAGATATTTAATTTATTTCGAAATAATTGCCCTGAGAAATAATAGCGGTTTATTCTAACGTGGAGATCGCACAGATATTTAAACTTTTTATACTATATCAACCATTTTCACGACCATTCTTGTAGGTACCGAGAGATATAGAACCCGTCAATGTCTACAGATACTACACTTATTACGGAGACTTCAAGTTAAAAGTGATAGGTAATGGCGGCCTCACCTTCACCAATGAGACGTGGCTGCAGTTTGATTCCAAAAGTCTCTCCATCTTCACCCAGACAGATAAAGGGATTTACCAACCGGGACAGACAGGTGCGTGACGTGACGAAAGTAGCTTCACTGGCTAATTAATATGTTCACCAACTAGTACACTGTACATGTATGTGTACTGCTAGTGTATACAATGGTCAGCTTTACCCACTACTCTTTTCTATTAGCTGTTTCATGGCCGCTCCCTCAATTCGCAGGTCTTATATTTTATGTTAATTAAAGATGGCAAGGAACATAGACAAGTGTCAGATCATCATAAGTACTTTATTATTCGCAAATCTGCTTTGAAAAAAGACGCTTCGTTTGTCATGTTTCGCCCACCTTTTAACTATTGCCCACTTTTTCATACACTTAATAAATGTTTAAATACACATTGCAACATCCAAACAGATATAAATCACTCACAGTTGTCTAAATATATC